AACAGCAGGAAAGACAGGCCAATGCCCCGGGAAGAAGCGTGGCGGGCGGGGGGACATACCGCGGAATTGACCTGCTCCTCGTCGGTGTAGCTCAAGTGGACGAGCGACCGGACGGACATGTCGATCTCGCTGGAAATGACCTTCTGGATGGATGCCGCATCGCCCTTCTCCACAAATGCCTCCAGGGCATCGAGCAGGCGATTCTCGCACAAGACCCGGAGTTTGTCACCCGGCCCGGCGGAAAGCAAATCCGAAGAGGGACCTGCTGTGGGGGCCCCCACGCCGCCGGGCGGCACGAGAAACGTGTCCGAAGGACCGGCACCCGCTCCGGCTGCGACAGCCGCCCCGGCCGGCAGGAGGATGGTCCGCAGGAAGTCCTTGATGCTGGAGGGATCCAGCTCGGCCGGGCGGAGGGACTCCTCATCGAAGACGGGCTCGGCAGTACTGGCGCCGGCTCCGGAACGGGCACGCATGGCCGCGACATTGCGCTTGGCTCGGGTGGCTGCGGGAGGATCCCGAGTCGGGGAGCAGGGTCAGACGTGCACAAGATGCCAGGGGAGCATGCGGCCACCGGGGGCCGGCGGTGGAAACGCACCCGCACGGCGCTTGGTCGTGAGTTGGATGATGTTTGAAGGGTTGGCCACGCTGTTGGCAAACTGCTGTCCAAACCGGAAGACATTGAAAAGGTGCTTGTCGCCAATGGTCACGCGCAGGCGAATCAACGGGCGCGGGGGGTCCCCCACATCGTCGGGATTGCGTTCAAGCCACTCCCGGTGCGCCTGTCGGATCAGGTCGTTCACCTGTTCCGGCCAGGGGCGGGAGGGAGGGGGGGAGGGGGGAGGCAGAAAGAAGGCGGGTCAGTGAAGAAACGGCAAACCGGGGAGAGGAGCGAGAAGCATCAACGCACACGCTGCTTCAGGTGCTCCATGATGGCGTCACGATCTTCTGGCGGGCGATCCGACACATCCTCATCCTCGATGGCCATCGGTCGGACGGTCTTCAGCACCACGGGAAAGAGACGGAAGTCGTGCTCCCCGGTGTCGGGATCGGCCATGATCTCCAAGATGGCAATGTGCCTGGGAAGAGACAGCGGGGGGGGG